AGAGGGAGAAGCAGACTCCCTTCTGAGCACAGAGTCCAATGTAGGGCTTGATCCCAGGACTCCTGAGATCATGACCTGAGTCTAAGGCAGACGCTTAACCAACTGAGCCACCCAGGAACCCTCATACTTAAATTCTTAAATTGAGTATTACCTGTACTTTTTGAAGGCTCTACTCAAAAATAAAACAAGGCAAATAAAATGTGTGGAGGTGGAGGGGAGAGAGAGAAAGAGGAAAGAGAAAGAGAATGTAGTCTAAAAATAAGTCTGAAGTTTGCCCTTTTTAAAGGCAACCTTTGATACTTTGGAAGGCTTAATATCTTTGGATTGTACTTTCATCCTGCTTAATTTAAGTTTCATTTGGGTGAGGAATTTGAGCACCACAGCTAGAAGGGATTTCTTTCTCTACTAAAATTCTAAAATAGGAATTATCTGCAAAATTTATTTAATACTGACAGTAAATTTCCTTGTCATTTTATATATCTAATCTTTCAAAATAGTTTTGAAGACCTGGAGGGTAAATATCATATTTGTCTCTTTGCACCTTCATATGCATAGCAGATCATTTAGTATAGGGTGGCAAGCAATTAATATGGGTTCTTAATGCTAAAATAATCATGCAATCCCTTGTTATATGCATACCTTCTAAGATTTGCTGCATATAGAATAAAATGTAACTTTTTTCTGAATTTCTATCAAAGTTAACTCCCAGTTTAACCTGGATCATTTAGTATACATCATTCAAAATCAATAATACACACTGCTAAGACAGTTGATACTTTGGGGAACTATTCAAAGTTATGGAAAAGTATGTGTGTGTTCAGAGAGATGAACTCTGCCAGTCCATTAAAAAGTAAATGGAAAAACCTTGGAGTAGGTCCCTGTTCTAGCCAAAATAATTTCAACTATCACTCACCTTTTGGGCAAATATCCGTGCAAGGTTTACACATTTTAATCCCATTTTCTTCTACTTCCATCTTGGAACTAGGGCAGGCACGCACACAAGAACTGGAATCCACCACAAAGTTATCTGATTTGAAAAAAAAGGTGAAATTAGCAATGTTGATGGTCAGCAAACAAGTTTAAAACAAAGTACTTTAGGGCTTGACAATGATTAGCATCATTGATAGTATACATGTCTGTCTCTTTCCCTAAAACAACTCTGTTTAAATATCTCAACCTGAAATAGAATCTACGAACATCCACATCTAATCCAAGGGCAGCGTGTGTTAACAACAGTTAGTCCCTGCTTGACTATAGCTCCGCAACCTGAATTGCCCCCAAGATAGAGTGAATTTCTTTTATAGACTTAGGAAACTATATGACATTTAGTTTGTGTTTTTCAATAGTTCCACTTCATTTCATGTCATGATGCAAGTCTGAAGTCTAAAAATACTTCAAGTTACACGAAGCACAAATGAAGCTGACGTTGAATTGCCTTGGATCCAGAGAGGCACTTCATATCCAGGAGGAAATGTTTAAAATGTGTTCTATCTTTCAGTGGAAAGCCATAGAAACTGTTCCATAGTTTTATACGAAGAAACAAAATGGAATTTGAAAGGCAGCACTTTAGGAAAGGTATACTACATAAATCAGGAATGTCTGATTACCTGATACGTTGGTGAAATACTTATGGCTCCAGTGATCTGAAATATGCCAGGACATTGCCTGCCCCCCAAAAAAGAACCCAGATAATTGTGTCTAGAGCCTCTCACAGTAAAGGGAAAACACAATGCCTGCTAGGCCACTTTATATAT